TTTAAATCACTTCTACAATTTACCGTACAATAGTAATAAATAACAAATTGTAACATCTCTGATCGTTTGTTAATCTCCCGTAGAAATTCTTTCCGAGAAACTTCAGCGATACAAGTCCTTTTTTAATTAAAACTAGTTTATTTTTTCTTGTTACAAACTTTGTAATACACTTAATTTCCACAGTCACGTTAAACTTAACTACTTTTATAAACACACGCTATAATTCACACGGATTCACACACTTTACTCGTTTGACTCAATTATCTGTCTATCTGCTATCATTTGCCGGGCTTATATACTAAAATAGAGGGCGCCTGGAAAATACTAGAGTTGCCAGGAAAAGTCAAGATCCTTCGAGAATCTCATGACGTGTTACCAGCGTCACGTGACTTCCTCTGTCGTAACAAAATGAAAAAGTGACAGGTGGAACCTAATTAAGAACAAAAATGCTTCTTACGGTCCCATTGTACAAATTCTGGATGAAACTATCTATAAATAGAAATTTTAGCAAAATCTATAATTTATCCATGAACTCCTACGCTGGTGGAACCTCATGAAACAGTATTGGGTTTACGCCCCAAAATATTGTTATCAGAGAGGGTACCCAACTTATGAAACATTGGATTTCTAATCTTTGTAAGAAAGAACGCAATAAAATATACTATGTAGTTTCTTTGATTGGAAGTTAATATAAATAAATTAAACAATGAATACTGAAAAACTACTGTACACTCACATAGCTACAAGTAGGAGAAAAGGAGACAATTAGCAAAATGCAGCAATAATTTAACTAAAAAAAACAGTCGAGTAACTTCAGAAATTAGACAGTTAATATTTTTGTCAAAGTTTCGGTTTTGCTTTCTTCGAAAATTTTATTCTAGCACAGATAAAAAGAACTTATAATTTTCAAAATAAATTTAAAAAAGAACAATTCCTTACATACACACCCACAACATACGTGTGCTTGGTATGGTTCCCAAAAATAAAGGTTAAAAGAGGACTTTATAACGATATTACAGCATTTCGAAATTAGGAAAACACTGATGTTATAGCAAAAACAATGATAAAAATTATATATATATATAAATTCAACCATGATCTCGATTGATTGGTGGTTTAAGTTTCCTTGTAAATACTGTTTCTGTATTTTTTCTATCGAGGGTGGTATACAGGAAAACTATGCATTTTCTACCTTCTTGTTTTAGAAGAGAATTTTTCAAAATCAGTCAGTTATTCAGGTGCGTGTGCACTTTTCACGCAATATGTAGTCAATAAAATTTTTAAGTTGCATTTTGTTCCAGCTACTTTTTTCTTTGTCATTCACAGAGTAGAAAGGAGACAGTTCAAGTCTTTGATCTTTTCAGTACATTGTTTGGTTAAATAATGTTCTTCCAAAGAGCTAGTGTGGTATTAAGGCATACCATGCGTTTTCTACCTTCATGTAGAATTTTTCAAATTGTTTTCGTTTATTTTAAATCTATACAGATTTTACAAACACTTCGTTCAGAAAAACGTAAAGTTCATTTCGTTCTAGCTGGCTTTATTACTTTTGTTTTGTTATTCTTTGGAGATACCCGTTCTGTACGTGAAGGTATTGCTGTAATACTGCATGTTGTGCAAGAATGTTAGTAGCAATGCCTTTTAATGGTAGGCTAGGTGATACCTAGAGGGTATGGCCTCCCATATACTAATGAGAAGGACCAGTCACTTGGATAGTGCTAGTAGATATGGGTAAATCCGACATTTTCCAAGAAGCAAGAAATATTATATTTAAACACTCTACACAGGATCTCAAGTGAGTAGGTCAGTTCACGAGTCCAGTGAAAAGCAACCATCGCAAGTACGCACACGTTTTGTAAATTTTAATAAATATTGTTCTTGTTTTCTACACATCGTGTCTAGTCTTTTTATTTCTTACCTTAATTGAAATTCAGTCACTTTAGTTAAATTCAGTATTGCTTCACGTTTATCTACCAGTCCTCCTGTTATAAAGCGAAACTACCAATACTCTTTGCGGAAATCAGTTTTGCCTGAGAATACCACACTAGCACCATTACCGTGGTTTATTTCTTGATATTTTCTAAAATCCTGTTCTACGCCAGTTTCTCCAATCTAATATTTACCACAAAAATATGTTGCTTTGTATAGAAAAAGAAAGATTTTTGACATTGTAAGAGTTTTATAATTGGACACTTTTTTTGTATATGAAACTAGAATACACGATAAGTTTTCCTCGTAGTTGAACTATTTTGATTTCTGGTATTTCAATCACATTTTTTAATTCCTTGTTACAATGTTACCGATATAGCGAATTGTTCAAACAGCGTACAAATTTGTTAAATTCTTGAAATAATTTTTTTGGTGGAAATATATGCTGCAATAAAACTAAAAGTCTTTTTTAGTGTGGTTCAATGTATATATGTTTGTTTATCGTGTGGTAATTTAAATCTAAACCCGAGGCCTCATGAATAAAAAAAAAAGCTCTATCGCCTTAACTAAAGAGTTAACCCATTAGCGCTTCCTATTAAGGCACTTTTATTCGAGAACTCAAACTATCACAGGGGGGTAACCGTGTTGTCCTTTGGGTGTTGTATATCGTGACATGAGATGCCTGCTTTCTTTTTCCTCTGTTCATATTCACGAAATTAGCTTTCAATAACTTTCCATGGATAATTGTTTTGTAAAAAGAGTTTAAGACCTTTTCTGGCTTGTAACTTAAGATTATTCATCGCTGCATACAAAGTCAATATGGTTCAACTTTCCCAGAATTACACCACTCTTAGTATTACCTCTGTGGTTGAAATTAAAAAAAATTATATTGGGACAAATACCGAGTTTACGATATACAGATATGGAAATATGTCTTTCTGTTACATATACAAAAGTATCAAGAAACGATAATGTTCTAATGACGTGTGAATATTCCAAACATCTTTTCCGACTCTCATAAATACAATATTGTCACAAAACCACCTCCTATTTAAGTAGGCCCGTCTTACACACGAAGGGTTTGTATTGACAAGGTGTATGGTCAATGATAGTTATAAATTTGTAATTTTATAAAACTTAAACTATTGAGGTGTGCCATAAGCCCACCTTTTTTTTGACACTTTAGGCTGACTCACCTGAAATTTGTCTGTGACCTCGTATAATTTATCATTGCTTCGATAACTTCAGATACCTTAAAATATGTTTATGCACTAAATAAAATAAAAAATGACAGCAAAAACAACAAATTATTATATTTATCAGCGAATCAAAATTTTAAAACAAGTTATCCAAACGTATCAAAAACAGTCTAAAACAGTTATTAAAATCCATACTATTTCGAACTTTAGTTTTACAAATTCTTTACGGTAACTCTTGTTTGTTGTTGAGCATAAAAGTACAAAGCGGGCTATCTGTGCTCTGCACATTGCGAGTATCGAAACCCGATGTTTAGCATTATAAGCTCTCTGGCTTACCGCTGAACTACAGGGCGATCCCTGAATAGGGATACGGCTCCCTCCAAGCTTTAGACTTGATATAGTATTTTTGAAACAAATGTGAAAATGTACGTGTGTGTGTGTGTTGGCAAGGGACATTTGTCTCCCCCCATAGAAAATGAGAAACATAATTCTTTTTTATTCAATTACCACGTGTATGTGAATTTACACGTTTTTTATTCATTTCACAACATCACACTACTTATTACACTTAATTTTTCAACTCTAATAAAAGTCGCCAGGTTTGTCAGCAGTTTTACATAAAATATCTAAACCTTTCCTGTAGCTAAATATTGAAAAACGTCGCTACCACGGAGGCTTCTTGGTTATTGGACATGGCAATTCTCACTCGGGTCCAACATGGTCTTGTCGACAACCACCACCACGGAGGTTTCTTGGTTATTGGACATGGCAATTCTCACTCGGGTCCAACATGGTCTTGTCGACAACCACCACCACGGA